GGACCAATAAATTTCATTCGAGATGATCCATCGCTCTTTCGTGCAAGAAAACGTGATAAATAATCGGTCGCCTCTTCTTTTCGTATACTTTTTCCCTTCTTCTTTTTTTCCTCGCCTCGTTTCTCCACGATCCCTCGCCTCTTATTTACGGTCCAAGACGTCGCAGGCCGAGTTATAAGTTCGTTTACGTAATGGTTATAATACGCTCTTTCCACGTGACCTTCAACCTTTTCCCGAAAAGGATTCAGCTGGTAGCTCGTGTGGTTCGGTAACTCGTGATCTGCCAGGATTGGATTCGTGGCGGTTATAAACGTATTCCGATTCCTCTTGTTGCGTCACTGAACTTTACCCAGGACGAGGATATCGCCCGTGATGAACACTCTCGTTAAACGCTCGCCGTGTCCAATAATTCTTCGAATTTCTTCACATGAATAATATCTGTAATAATCTGTTCCAATTAATCGTGATTAAATCGTTGATTACAGTATCGATAATAATTTACTCCAAATTATATACTAGATCCATAATTCTGAATTAGGAATTCTTGAAATCTTTTTCGAAGATTTGCGAAAAGAAATGATAGCCAAAAATGTTTTCCAAACTTTTCAAATTTCTTTTCACAATCACAAAAAAAAAAAAAAAGAAAAGGGACAAACTTCAACAAAGTGAATCTATCTACAAGAAGAAATGACGCAGGCGAAACATCGCGGAGAGAAAATTACGTTTCATAAACGTTTCTAAAGAGAGATAGATAGAATTCGAACTTCTACGAGGAAAAAGATGCATTGTCCCACGATGCGCGAAGAAAATATTTTTACCCATAAATATTTTTCTCGGCTGGATCGTATGACAAAACCGCCTGTCAGCTGAATGTCATTTGAATCCTCGTATAAACGCTATCGCGGCGAGATATGCGCCGAGTCTCCACGCGATTTCTTGCTTGCATCTGGATGGAGCAGAGCCGATTTTTCTTACAATAAAAGTACGCGAATCTTGTCGCGACAATGGTCCACTGATTTTTCTAAATTTTCCGTTTTGATAGCCGAGTTTACACTACGTGGGTGAGGAAGGTGTTGGCGAATTCGTAGCAAAGATACAAGGAACTTTCTCCAGTAATCTTCTCGCGCATCGTGTGACACTGGTCTGCGGTGTGTTCAATTCATCGGCGCCAGCCGTGAGAAATTCGTTGCACGAATACCTGAGAAAAACCACCATTATCTATTTATTATTCTCTTATTGCTATTGAGAAGAGTGAAGAATGTATAAATGATCGAAGATATTTATTAGATTGTAAATTAAAGTTTGATATTATTTTAGATGTGATTGGTAATTTATTTGTAAAAATATATAGAGAAGAATAGAAATTTAATGACTCATTCATGAATGGAAAAAGGAAGACAATAAATTAAAAAAGAAAAAAAAAAAAAAGAATTGGTATCTTATTCATAAAAGTAAAAAAGGAAACTGATAAATTCAGGATCTTTGAAATATTTTGCGTGAAATTTCATCGCTTCTTTTTAGTGTCTTTTTTTTTTTTTTTAAGACTATTCTTCAGTCCTTCTGGGAATTTCTTTATCTGAAAGTCAAATTTAATATCACGTATCTCTTCCAGGAATACTAGAAAAAAAAAAATAATCGAAAGTATTCACTCGGAATGTTTTGCATAAGATATTTTTAAATTTATTATTTCCTTTCTCTTCTTTTTTTTTCTTTCGAAAAATAAATTATCAAATATCAAAAAGATTATTAAAATTTTAATTTATTAAAAGTAACATTAAATCAGACTAAAAGTAACATTAAATCAGACTTATTTTTCAAATACGAAGAAAATTTCAAAGACCAAAGAACATGAAAATGTTAAAGAAAGGGATTATAGATAGAAATGTCCTATATATCTTATATAGTGGTGAGATAAAAGATTGAGGGAATAATCAAGGGAATATAATTATCTATAATATTTATAATTTACTTTATACTCGTTTATTCGTTCAACGAGGCACTTAGATAATGAGCATCGTTTAATTGTACAACCACGACCAATAATAAGAGAACTTGACGTAATTGCCATTACATTTCCTTCGTGTGAAATGACACACACATACACACATACATACACGTTAAAACGATATTTTCTCAAAACTTTTTACTTTTATTTATACACGCTAGTTAACTGTCGTGGATAATTTTATTAGTTAACTTTTAATTTTATTTCTCAAGAAAAGATCAGATTGCAATATCAAGAAAGGTCAAATAATCCATCCAGCTAAGCTCCTTGAAAGAATTTACAGCATGATAAATTTTCCTTTGCTGGATCACAGTTTAATACTCACTTTCTGTAAAACACTGTGATCAAACATAACTGTTAAAAATTTTTTGTAACAGTTTGTTACAATTGCAAATTGTAAATATTTAAAAAAAGAAATTAAGTCATAATATAATTATTATATTAAGTAAATAATTAAACATATCACGCAAGATCGTAATGAGATTTGCCCACTTGACACTTATTGCGTGTCGATTAGAATTAATTTATACCTGTTTCACTCGAGAATCGGTTAAGTATCTATTTTTTATTCCTAAAGAAAATAATTTTCTTCTTACCCATTGCTATTTTCGTTGTTACGACAATGAAACTGATGGATGCGCGCCTTCAGTGTTTCTTTCTTCGTTTAATAAGCATTCGCATTAGCAGCGCACGAGGCAGAATAATTAGAAAGCCATATTGCTGAACACATTGGACTTTATTAGTACCAAAGATGCAACCTTCTCCATTATGCAAGACATCATTTTTGCACCTATCACGCGTGATGCAGCTGTTCATCCATTGAACGAGACTCGTGAGAGCGATTCAAACAGGTTAATAGATGGATCCCAATCCAAGGAAACGAACATTGATCGTCAAAAATTCATACTGCTATTCTCGAATATCGTATCTCGAATATCGACTCTTATTACATATGCATACAAAGATATCTTAATATTTGGAATAATTGGCTCGAGTGTGAATACTAGAATTTTTTGAAAATTATTCAATTAAAGTCTTTATTCGAGTTTAGTTTAAATCGATTAAATTTGAATAAATATTCTCTGTTATATATATAAAAAAGAAATTTCAATGATTTGGAAAAAAAAAAATAATTCTTCTCCGCACCACTTGACGAATCTTTTCAGAGGATTGAGAGAAATGTAGTAAATATTTTCCAAGGTAGAACTGACTTGGAAATTAGGCTGTCATTGGTTAATGTAATATGGCGAACTAAACAGCAATTGTAACTAGTTTTTAGCAGTTGCGACATAATTTTGCACCTCGAAACGTGCGAACAGCTGACACATAGAAAACTCTTGTCATATTGGTTTCTCATTAGACCCGAAGACCTCTCTTTTGAACATATAATTTGCAACTTTCTCTAGGTGCAAATAAAAATGGTGAGGCCGCTAAGATGTGTCTAATTGTTTGCACTACTCGCATAAATACATCGTGAAACCATTGATGGTATTAATCATAGGATATATCTTGTCAACAAAACATAATTGCTCTCTGTATAATGGATATTACGTAATGTGAATTAATGTAACATTATAAATCAGAACGATAATTGGTAGGACACCAAGCCTCTTAATAAATAACGAAATTATGTATTCTCGAATAGAATCCGTCTAGTTCTTTAACGACTTGATATGCATAATCAGACTTCCTATATTTTATATTCTTCTTTTTATATAATAATATATTCTTTTTATATACATAATATACCCATTATACACGTGATTTCCTCGAATTTCACGAATATCTCCAAAGATTGAGAAACCATAATTTCGCAATTGGCCATAATCGCGAGGAACGATCCTAATCAAAATGTAACTCGTTTTTAAAGATATAATGCCTGGAAATCTATGCAAATCGCCATAAACAAAAAAAAATCGATTCCCCTTAATTAAATATTAATTAAATATGAATTCATCCATCCACGGCAAAATTTCACATTCGCATTAATTAAAATTCTTTTGAAAATCGCCAAGGACTTTAATGAAATCTTTTCTCTTCCCAGAAACTTCATAATTGGTTAATTAAAAGAAATATAAGCGTATATCCTAACTGAAAGTGGGAAATTTAAAAAATTTTTTTCGAAGAGACAGTAACCTTGCGATCTGTATCGTTTGTTCCGCAAGTCGGACGAACGTGACATCAGTTATATATATGTGAGGATCCTTTCACATGTTGGCGAAAGACACCAAGAGGAGATTCTCTTCTTTGCGATCCTTCTATATAAATTATGCGTCTAAAGGTCACTGGACGTTTCTTCGAGCCAGAACTATCATTCGCGTTTACGATGTCGCAAACGGTTTTAATTTCTGGCCAATGTGATTTCCAATCGGCTGATTTGCGATACTCGTTCGACCGACCAAAGATAATTATCCTCGATGAATTGTTACAATCTGATTAATTAAAAAAAGATCGTTAAAGATGTACAGTTGTAATTGTATTAGAGACGATTTCGATATGATAGACAAATAATAATATAAAATCTTGAAATAGATGGACACTTTTCGTATTAATGTATCGAAACGACGAAGATATTTCCATTGATGTAAAAAGAAAAATGTTACAAATTTTTTATTGAAGTTTGATCAAATTTCGTAGATTAAGTACTTAATGATCAATGAAAGTATCATGTAATGCATTTCACACGGACGAACCTTTCACGATCACTGATGTATCATAGATGGTGTATCGTAGTTGAGACGGGTTATATAAGTTCTTAGGTGAAGCGTGAGATAATCCCACCAAGTCGCTTTTCGACATGTTATAATCAATTACGTGATGATCCGTGATCTGATATATTTCAAGTCCATTCAATAATTTAGGTTATTATCATACAAATAATATAATAGAGTATTTAAAAATTAAAATATCGTGTACAGATAAAGATGTTTTGTTTGAATGAAATGTAACGATAATTTGTATTTTATCCAGCGAATCTTGTTGATTGCCACAATAGTGGCAGTGCTCTCCACACACCATGCGCAAGCATCGAGTGAGAAGAGCAAAAGAGCGATAGCGAGCAATGGAGGTTATATTTATGAGCCACCGAAAACTTTACCACCGCGGTAAGAATTGATCATTGAAATTATATCTAAAACATTGTACGATCATTTATGTTATCATCCAGACAAGTAAACGTATATAACGTGTTGATTGCAATTGTCAAACATAATATACTACATATATATATATATATATATATATATATATATTCTTCGTAGACTAACTATAAATTCAAAATCACCACTGATATTCGCATATACTTATTCAATACCCAACAAAAATTTTATGTTTCCGTCACACAGAACATCTTATTACATTAACCATCGCTCAACGTCCTATAAGGATACCTACATATACATATTCACCAGATTAATAATGCCGCGTACATCATCTTACATTCTTACATATCAGTACGAGTTAAATAAAAATAGCATATAAAATGTTATATAAATATTTTTATTGTTACTTTTGATGTAAACTTTAAATTATAATATATTTCTATCGTTACCAATAAATATGTTTCTTGTACAGAACAACATTGAAAACAACTATACCACCGGTAACTCTACCGACAAAAACTACAAAATATCAAACATATGATGGGAGAGTTACATATCCACCAGGAACAATACGTACACCAAGTTATACAATTCAAACAAGGCCAACTATATCACCATCGTAAGAGTTTGATTAATATTAAATATTCTATAAAAATAGTGATATAATTTACATCATTATATTAAAGCAATTATAAGATATAATATTATAATTAAAATGATTACTTTTAGATATAATATCTTTTTTTAGAACAATTCAAACAAAACCACCAATAGAGATTTCAACAGGATATAGTTATCCAAGACCAAATAATGAATTTACGCTGCCATCTCAAACTCAACCGTTTTATGACAGACCAAGTGGGCCATTTACAACAGCAAGAACACCGGCGCCATCACCATTTTTCCCATCAGAAAAGCCAACATATCCTTATTTTTCACAAAGACCAACAGTTCCATCATTCAAACCAAATGATTATGACTTTTATCCACAAACAAGACCGAAAGTAACACCGCCATCTAAAACGCCAGGTTATGATTATCCAGTACCATCATCACCTTTTCCACCACCGAAAACTTCAACTCCCGTACCACCTTTCTCCCCAAGACCTCCCTCAACACCCAAAACACCAAGTTATGATTATCCAACACCACCGTCACGTTTTCCATCATCACAGCCACCGACAACTCCCTCACCACCCAAAACACCAGGTTATGATTATCCAATACCACCATCACCTTTTCCACCGTCACAGTCACCGAAAACTTCAACTCCCGTACCACCTTTCTCCCCAAGACCTCCCTCAACACCCAAAACACCAAGTTATGATTATCCAACACCACCGTCACGTTTTCCATCATCACAGCCACCGACAACTCCCTCACCACCCAAAACACCAGGTTATGATTATCCAACACCACCATCACCTTTTCCATCATCACAATCACCGAAAACTTCAACTCCTGTACCACCATTCTCCCGAAGACCTCCCTCAACGCCCAAAACACCAGGTTATGATTATCCAACATCACCATCACGTTTTCCACCACCACAGCCATCGAAAACTCCGTCACCACCCAAAACACAAGGTTATGATTATCCAGCACCACCATTACCTTTTCCACCACCACAATCTCCAGCTCCCGCACCACCTTTCCCCCCAAGACCACCCTCACCACCAAAAACACCAGGTTATGACTATCCAGGACTACCATCACCTTATCAACCACCACAATCTCCAGCTCCCGCACCACCTTTCCCCCCAAGACTTCCCTCACCATCCAAAACACCAGGTTATGATTATCCAGGACTACCATCACCTTATCAACCACCACAATCTCCAGCTCCCGCACCACCTTTCCCCCCAAGACCACCCTCACCACCAAAAACACCAGGTTATGATTATCCAGGACTCCCGTCACCTTATCAACCACCACAACCACCAAAACCTCCAATTCCTGTATCACCTTTTCCACCAAGACCTTCCTCACCACCCAAAACACCAGGTTATGATTATCCAGGACCACCAACATTAAGACCATTACCATCACAGCCACCTGGTTATAATTATCCATCTCCTCCGCGAACTCCAGCACCACCTCCCCCTTATCCACCATCGCAGCCACGACCACCTTCACCACACGTACCTCCTTCTCCTTCTCGGCCACCAAGTTTTCCACCTGATATAACATCGGGAACACCACCGTTCCAGCATATCCCGCCAAAACCTTTACCATCTTCTACATCACCAAAAACTCCATTTCCATATCCATCAAAACCTCTTCCATCTAGACCACCACAGTCACCTTCATCACCTGGATATTTATCGCCAACACCACCTGGACCACCACCAATAACACGACCGCCCTTATCTTATCTACCTCCTTCATCACCAACAAGTCGTCCACCACCATCACCACCACCTTATGTACCTCCTTCACCACCAACGAGTCGTCCACCACCACCATCACCACCACCACCTTATGTACCTCCTTCACCACCAACGAGTCGTCCACCACCACCACCACCACCTTATGTACCTCCTTCACCACCAACGAGTCGTCCACCACCACCACCACCACCTTATGTACCTCCTTCACCACCAACGAGTCGTCCACCACCACCACCACCACCTTATGTACCTCCTTCACCACCAACGAGTCGTCCACCACCACCACCACCACCTTATGTACCTCCTTCACCACCAACGAGTCGTCCACCACCACCACCACCACCTTATGTACCTCCTTCACCACCAACGAGTCGTCCACCACCATCACCACCACCTTATATACCTCCTTCACCACCAACGAGTCGTCCACCACCACCACCACCACCTTATGTACCTCCTTCACCACCAACGAGTCGTCCACCACCACCACCACCACCACCTTATGTACCTCCTTCACCACCAACGAGTCGTCCACCACCATCACCACCCCCTTATGTACCTCCTTCACCACCAACGAGTCGTCCACCATCATCACCGCAACCTCCAATAACACGACCACCCCCAACTGGACCAACATATTTACCTCCTACACTATCAACAAGTCGTCCACCATCTTCGCAACCTCCAATAACACAACCACCCCCAACTAGACCAACATATTTACCTCCTTCACCACCAACAAGTCGTCCACCATCATCGCAACCTCCAATAACACGACCCCCAACTGGACCAACATATTTACCTCCTTCACCACCAACAAGTCGTCCACCATCATCGCAACCTCCAGTAACACGACCACCCGTAACTGAACCGACATATTTACCTCCTTCATCACCTGTAACTCGTCCACCTGCGCCTCCATCTTCACCTGTTACACGTCCACCTGCGCCTCCATCTTCACCTGTTACACGTCCACCTTCACCTTCATCTCCACCTGTTACACGTCCAACATCTCCCTCCTCCTATATACCTCCCATAAATACAAAACCATCGACCCAAGGCAATACGTATTTGCCTCCTGATACTACTCAAAGAACTACTACTCCAAGAATTCCAATAACCACTCCAATTTCAACGACGTATACATCTACACCTCCTTTCTATCCAAGTACGCGACCTCCGCCATACCTTCCACCTTCTACCCCATCCACACCTCGCGACATAATAACAGCACCGAGTCCACCCTCCGTAATGTACACCAGTGTGCCAACATCGACGATCTACATTCCATTGCCAACTGGCAAACCCGCTTCGCCACCTACTATACCACCAACCACGAAGAGGCCCATTGGCTACTTCTATCCCGTGCCGGAGAATCCATTAGAGTTGCCGCCGTTCGATGACGAGAGGCAATTTAGTTGAACTGATAATTTCATACTACTACTATTTTTTTTTTTTTTTAATTTTTATATGTATAGTATACAAAGCTATTTATGGATCCGCATAGGAGATGATACTGAATCTGTAATCGACAATGGAAAAGAAACGAAAACGATAGAGTGGACTGGATCCTCAGTTGCTCGTATCGTATATGCGTGTAATCGTAAGATAACGTAACAATTCGATCCAACTTGCGAGAATATATAATTTTCCATTGATCGACTATTGAGAAATTATTGATGACGACCTCCCGTCACGTTTGTAAATTTTGTACAATCTAACACACGCATACAATAGAAGAAATAAAAATTTGTATAAAGAGTAGAATGTCGTAACGTGTTTCATTTTCACGCACAAAGTGTCGAAACCTTTCGAACTTTTGATATTTTCAAAGTGAAGTATCGAACACCTGATTCGCCAGAGGGATCGGGGCAATCACTTTTTCGCCTACGACATCCTTTGTGCACATCAATATTACGAAACGTGTTTAACAATCTCGAATAAAAAGAATTATCTCAAATATGATTACGAATCGCATTTCTCCGTTGCAATCGATTCTCTTACAACATGCTGTGTAATTACAGATGACTATCCTTCCGCGTAAGGATGACGATGATAGTTCAATTTATCCAATAATCGTATCACCGTGACATTGATATTCTGTCTTAGATTATCGTCCAATGATATATTTGATTCGAATCTCGTTACGTGGTAAGTAGCCCATAACTTATCTCCTACTACCATAACGAGCCTCCCCCACGTACAAAGAAATTTTCTACATTCGTGATGGAATCCAACCAGTGAAAACTCCGTTGCGAGAAATGAATGCTCGTTAGTTGTATATGGAGCTTGGAAAGAATAGTCTCGTGGCCTTGCAACGTAGAATTTGTAAAATCGATTACCGTCCAGTCACGATTCAAATTTTATTATCGATCGTAATAGAATATATGTAATTTTTATATAATTATACCGTATCGGCAAATAAACATCACAGTCTCGTGACGAAGAATTGACTTAAGTGTCGTTAAAATTGATTTCGAAAAATATTATGTGAATAATCAAAGAGGATAAGAATCGACAGATTTAAAAGGACATGCTTGAAACCGGGCGTAGAACCGTAATCAATACGTCTCAGCTTGGACTTTATTCCGATAACGGTGATCGATATCGTAGAAATCGATACAATTCCATTACCAGGAAATTCGTGATTGGAGTTATGGTAGTGGTGGTAGTGGTGTTAGTAAGTAATTCAAATGTTATATTAAATTATATTACGATACTAATCAGAAATTAAAACTCACCCTTCACCTTTTTGAGTCGTCAAGATGGATAATTCATGCAATTGCGAAATACGTCATCGATTAATAACGTAATATTTAAGAGAACATATATATATATATATACTTCACATTGCTGCATCTTCTAACAGAAAAGGTTGCAAAGATAAATTTATTAAAACAGAAAAATCGTAGAAAAGAGTCGTAACTCTGCACACATTTGCCGAGTCAAACATTTGCACACTGCTCACCTAAATATCTCTTATCTTATGTCCTCGTTTCAAAGAGGACCATCTTTCATCTTTTCCTGCGAAATACTCACGAAAAATCCATGCATATTGCCGCTCTATCCATCAAGTTCAATGACTCGGCCCCCATGATCGACGAGCATTACGTATCGATCGTTAACAAGCGCATTATGTTCCACCGTGTTAAAAAACATTATATTGCACGTACGATAAATTTTTAACGAGCATTATACAAACAAGACACTTCCGTAACTAACCGTTTAAAATATTCATAATGGAAGAATCGTGGCGAAGAGAATACAATTTTCTAATTGGTAGAAAGTTAATTTTCAAGGATATTTAATTCTGAGATTTGTTGAATCGATTCTACAACAACGATTATTAATTAAAGAAGGAAAAGAAAAGAGGAAAGTGGTACTAAACGTTCGCGTTTTACAGTGACAAACGTTCCTTTCAAAAGTAAAGTTCTTTTTTTTTTTTTCTTTTTTTATCGCTCGGCGCCTTAATGAGGCGCCATTGTGAAGAACAATGGGCGCAATTACAATCTCGCGGATTTTCTCCCATGATTAATGCAACAAGCATGGTAGCGCCACGGTTAAAAATCAACAATTTCACCGAGAAGGATCTCGTTTGTGGATTCGCATGCATGACGGGCCAAGCGTCGCAAACCAGATTTCTGCGTGATTCACATATAGGGCGTTAACTGTGTTTTGACACGAATTAGTTTGGAGGAATGGAATCTGGTTTGATGCTTAACGAATGAACGAGAACGATGGAGAAAATGTGATGGTCGTTCGGAGATTGATATCAAATAGCTATCTTCGGTTCGATTTAGAAAGAAAACGATACTTTCTGTAAATATATTTCACGATTGAACGAATTTGATTAATTTAATCGAAACAGCCTACTTTTTAAAATTATATACCTTTTTTGAATTATAGGTACGATGTAATTTCTTCTAATGTGTAATAAAATTCCAATTTCAAAATAATGAAACATTATTTCTTATGATTCAGATTTTAATCTTAGAGTTAGTTCAATTCATATTAATGGATGGAATATCTTAGAAAATGTTTTTTTCCTTTTTCTTTGTTTTACTTTATCTTATATATATATTTTTTTAAATTATGAATTTTTAATCGTAAATTAAATATAAATTAAATTCGAGAAATCATACTTTTTCTGTTTTAGATTGGAATATTTTTGTACGATTTCGCGTCCGCGTCATCGGTGAACAATAAACTGAATCAGGAATCAAAGCACATGTACATCTTGCAAAATGCGCTTAAGAAACCGTCGAACTTAACAAAAAAATTATACAACTCCACTGTTTCGCCAGAAGTGAATAGAACTAGCTCCATTTACATTCAAGATCGCTCAGACAATGAGAGCTATGAGAATCTGTTTCCTTACGAGGGGGCGGCCGATCAGAATGTGGCCGATCCCGAGTTTAAGTCGCAGAACCTGAATAACTTCAAACTGAGGAAAAGAGTGCTGAAATCGGTGGACGGGGCGGCAGAGGGGAAACAGTTGTTCGACAATCACGCGATTGTTTATCGTGTGAAGCAAAGGTAGAATGTTGCCCCCTTTTATTTCAGATTGAAATCAAAAACTTGGGCATATTTTATATAAAGAGGGCAAAGATAAAATCGTATCGACAAATTACGGGAGAAAATTTATTACATATAAATCATTTTTAATTATTTTAGAGAAATATTTCCATTCAAATAATACACGGACGATTTATGCGACTACCTTTCTTGTAACACGACAAAATAAAAAATTCGATATGGTTTCTCGAGTCGTAAAAAAAATGTCATAAAGAGTATGATTTATATAGCGGCTTATTTCAATCTTCGGCAACGAGAAAATTTTTATGTACGAGATAAGCACGGTAAAAGGATATTATGCATTTAATACGACTGTTACATAACGGCTGTTGCAAAATCCATTACTGCTTTTGAGTGTTAAATTAATTATATTCGTCACATTTTTTTTTTTCACGATACAAAAGTTAATAAATTCCCTCTGAGGAACTCGCACACATTTCTGACTCGTGTTCCACGTGTAAATTTACATTAACTGATTATCTTCAGCTCCATTGTACCAGATGTGTACGCGTTTGCAGCCTATAATAAATCACCGTTTCAATCGTTAATCGTCGAGAAACACTTTCTACTCTTCGACAACATCTCTTTCGCCTCGAATATCGCTCTATTATCGTCATCCGATATTCAAACGAATCTCGATCCAACCAGAAAAATTTTAAATTCTATTCTCTCACACGTCCTTATCCCCGTTTATTAAATTACAAGAAAATTGAAAATAAATTTCAATTTCATTTCGTTGAATCACAAATTCTTTGTTTAACATAAAGAAAATTTCTTATTTAAATTAATAACTTGTACTGTGCGTGATGAACGTGTGTTTAAAATTATATATATATTATAAACAGGCACAAATATCCTCCAGCCTCGAGCGAGGATGAAAGTTCAGAGGAGAGTCGACCGACTCCTTTTCACTGGGAGTTGAAGACACCGCAGCCGACCGCCTTCAAACGTCAAAGATATCCTCAGTTGTCCCAATACAGATACCCGTACGCGTCCAGGAACATTCAAGACATCATAAAGTATCTGACGAACGACGCCGACCTGCCGAATAGGGGCATCAAGTTTGCAGGAGTGTACGTGAATCCGAAGAAATACGATTTGTTCCCCTCTGGGGTTGGGGAGATGATGTCCAACAGCGATAGATCGGAAGAAGATGAAAGTTCTTATCCTTCGAACGAGGATCCGTTTTATCAATATAAACCGAGACATCCCACGGACGTGAATCTGTTGGCCACGTCTAATGTCAGGTTTGTAGACGAGCAAAGTGTTTGATTAATTCGATGGAGCATAGAAAATTGATCATGCAAATTGATTTGCTTTGACCAGCTTTCCCAAGTAACTGGTGATAATTAAAATTCTCGAAAAAGATACTATGAATCTTTCGAAATCTTTTGATTCAATTGGCCTCTCTTTTTTTGGAATCTATATATTTTTGCTTTGGCAAAGAAATATAGGTATTTAAATAATTGTATGGAATGTACAATTATCGTCGTTGGACATCGACTTGACAAATTTTCCTCTTACAATTAGAGATTAATCGAAGGGTATGAGAATAAAAGTAGAAGCAAAATGATCACTGAATCGAACTTTTCCAGATTTTCGCCAACGGGTCTTCATAAGTACAATTACGAGTATGGACGTCCTATGAATTACTACAAACCGACATCCATGGAATCTCTATACGAGAATCCAATTTCTTATTCCAATAATTATTCCAAGAAACGTAAACCGCAACCGTTCAGCGTCATGTTGGATATTTACCCGATCACCGACATCGTGGAGAATCAAAACAAGAAAGGGAACAGGCCGAGACAGGTGCCAGTGGAGGATTACGAGGTGAGAAGACCGATTCAGTACAACAGGGGGCCGAAATTTTATTCTCCGCCCCCGCAGGCCTTGAGTGACGAGGAGGAAAGGCAACAAATGGTATTCCATTTGAATCTGTATCCAAGAAAGAAGAACAAGATGACCAGGTAAGTTTCGATACTTATCCTCACAGAAATATCCAAATTATATAAAATTCTATTTCGATGAAATTGCAAAACGTTTTATCCTCCATCCAGTGAAATTAGAATCGTGGTCAAATAAATATCCATGGAAAAATAATAATTACAAAATAGG